GGGAAAATCAAACGCATTTTACTGGCAGTACTCAAGCTGACTTACCTTTGTTTGAATGACGGCGAATTCACAACGTGGAGGCTTAAAAATAGCCAAGTCTTGTACCCACTCCTTTGTGGATGTGCGCCTCCAGAGATTTATAATTGCGAAATTGGTTCGCCCTATGACTCCACAGGCAAGGTACTATTTCAGGCTAAGTCAATAGCAGTTGGTCTTCAAAAAAAACAAACTGCTATATTTCATACAGGTCCACATTTCCAATGCACGCTATTTTTTGCAAGTACCGTCTCTTTGCATCCGGACGCAATCTGACTTTATAACGTCCTTTTTCTTTTGAGCTACTTTTAAGTATGGTTAGTAGCAATCTTCCTTCCAAAGTGTGTTTGTTTTGATTCGTGACCTGCTAAAATGGTGGCACGCTCCCACAATGCATTGCGGCGTGACGTCAACTTCAAAGCTGGTAACGATCCGTGTTGCATGTTCTTGTACCTGTTTGTCTCTCACGGTTCAACCACATGGTGGTTGTGAATAACTGCCCAGCATCTACCAGTTTTTGATGGAAAACAAAGGAATAATGAAATGACAAAAAACCAAACAAAACAAACCCCCAAACTGTCTAGATAAAACATAAAGGCCTTGTGAAGTTAAACACAAAGTTATCTTACACAATACCTATATTTCTTGAGGTAAAGTTCATGTAGCCTGCTAATAGGCCTCCTAGCAAACCAGCTAGCTTACAAATATTTGTACTCACGTGAGCGCCTTTTCTTTTCTTTCTTCAAGACTTGGTCAAAACATTTCCCGAAGCAGACTGAAGTCATGATAATACCGTCTTTGAGGTAAGAAAAGCCACTCTGGTTGTGTTAATCACCGGTTTAATGACTATTGCGACATTTTTAGGGGTTTATGATGAATACTTTGATAAACGGAAAAACAGTGTGAAGTTGACCTGCTGAGATTAACACGATTGATTTTTTTCCCCAAACTGTGACCCTGATTTTTTCTTTCTTTTATGCCTCTGTACAAACCGAGGAAGGCAAAGTACAACAAAGGCCTATTAAAGGTAAAGTGCGTTGGTATAGTAATATTTAATGCTGATTTAATAATTACTGCAGTGTTTTAGAGGCTATGTGATGAATGTTTTACCACCTGGTAAAATAATCCTGGGCATAGTCCGCTGTGAATTTGTAGTTTGCTTTTCTTTGACAAAGGCAGTGTGTGGTTCACTGGAGTGAATGTGTGACATTGTTATTTTTATGGGCTATATCCTTTATTGACATTCAATATTTACTTTGATTGGGCAAACAGAATTAAATGTTTTATTGACGTTGGTGCTAGAGTTTTTGTGGGTTTGTGCATTGGTAAACAGGTTTCTTACTTTGTTGTAGCAGGACTTGGCATCAGAGAAAGTGGAATTTCTGTGTTTCTTGTGTGTACATGATTTCCTGGTCCACAGTTGCCTGAGTACTAAAAGAATGTTTTGTCCCAGATTTTCTTTGTCTCTTTTTAACAAAATGTATGTATTAATTTTCTAGATGGATTTTTATGTCATTTTATAAAGCAATCCTAGGAGATTAAGATGAACCTAAGCTTTTGGATGTACATGTGCATCTATATAGATATACTACATTACAGTTACAGCTCTGGAGGGCTTATTTTTATTAGCCTGGCAATTAAAAGTGCTTTATATCCAGAGCTATTTGATCATCAGTGGATCGCTTTGTTTTTTAAATTATCCTGATTAAATTAAGAATTTTCAAATTACTTTTGAGTAAAGAACAATTGAATTTGAATCACAAACTACACCAACCTTTTGTTGTGAAAGGAACGAATATGTTAAATTACTGTCAAGGCTGCATTCATTAAAACTTTAATCACCCCTTAAACCCGTATTTAGTTTATCCAAGTGCTTGTGGAAGTCTGGCAAAACTGCAGGCCGGCAAAAAAAGCTAAAAGAAATACTGGTATTTATTAATAATATATATTTTGTAGCAAATATCCTTTCTTACAAGACCCAGTCTCTCTTCTCTGTTGCCAATGCAAAAAAAAAAAACCCTTTATCAGCACATATACTGAAGATTACATAAGCACCCTTCCTAAAAAAAAAAAAAACCCAAAAAACACACACACTAAATGGAACTTGTAAAAATGGCTTTTTTTCAGCTGTCTGTCCATACTAAAACTATATTTTTCTTCATCAAAAATGCTTTCCCAAAACTGGCTCAGGAGTGTGTCTGAACAGACCGGCTTTGGATCTGTAGTTTGCATGTTCTCCCTGTTTCTGTGTGGATTCCCTCCAGGTACTACTGTTTCCTCCAAAAGTCCAGAGACATGCATCTAAGGGTGTTAGGTTAATAGGTTATTCTGATTGTTTAGCCATTTGCTGGAGGTCATTTTGTTGGGTTCTGGCAGCAGTCATCCTGTTCCTCCTTGCACAAGAGCTGATACCAGTCCTGCTAATGGGTTAAGGATCTTCTAAGGGCTTGTCCAGCTCACCTAGAGTAACTGCCTGTCTCCTGGAATCGCACACTCTTGAGGCTGTGCTGGGAGGCGAAGGAAACTGTTTTGTAATGGCATGTATTGATGTCCCATTCTGAAGGGATTGGACTACCTGCGCAATCTCTATAGGGTCCAGGCATCACTTTATGCTGCCAGTAGTGGGACTGACCCGAGCCAATTGCAAAACTCTGAAAAAAACAGAAAACATAAAGAGGTGTAAGTG